TAACGTTTTCTTTTCAACCATTTAAAGGGCAAACAAATATCATACAACAGTTAATATCAGTCTGTTAAAATAATTGACCTAATGATTCCTAGACCGATAATGATGAATTTAAAAAAACTAAGTCTATTTAAAAATTACCAACCCCAAACATTTGAACAGCATATTTTTTCAAATTTTTTGTCGATTGATTATTGAAAATTGAACTTAGAATTCATTTCTTTTAACTTTAAACATTGGTTTCCTGTTGCATGACATAACTTATTGGAAATTTTTTTTCAGAGTATATCTGCAGTATTAGTGAAGTCTTTAACAGTAGCGAGGAAGATTAGACAACTTTGTAATCATCATGTATATAATTCTTTTAAGTATCTCTTGCCATTCAAATTACAATACATTTTTTGAAGCGGTTAGTTTCAATGTGATTAGAAAAGAATTGAAGAATGAGATGAAAAACAAAGATTTAAACAAAAGAACTACATGAATTCAGTGATATTCCTGTTGGTTCTTCTTGTCAGAGCTATTTACAAAGTTATAAGTACAAGTTGGATTACAAATTACTTACATGAAAGAGTTTAGTTGTGAAATGGCTATGATCATATATACCAGTATAGTGATAGTAAGTTTGCAAACACATTTTAATTGACTGAATAAATAAAGATTGTAAATACGTATCTTTTACGGGAGAATATCCGATCAAAAGTAATTGAAACTTTCAAACCAAAGTAATATCTAGCAATCTTTCTAGATGACTAACAAACAGTTTTGTTGAAGCCATCGCTGCCATGCATCTGGTGCTTGATTCTTGACTTCCGAAAAACAAAACGTGGTTGTTAATCGTTCGTTTACTTTGATGATGTAAGAATATTTCTTCATTATATTACTGAATTTCGTTCAAATCCTTCTTTTAAATCACCACGTTTTTTATTTCAACTATTTTCTAAATCAATTATCGTATTTTTTTCAATTAGAATTTTGAAGATTATTGTATTTTACACATTTGAAATCATCAATCAATGATTGTTAGACCACCATTAAAACCTGGAGGCACTGGACGGGCATTTCGTTCTGGTATGGGACTCATCAGTGGGAGTGCGCATCCACGACTCTTGCGCCTATCAGGATTCGAACCCGGAACCTTCGGTATTGTGAGCGAACGCCTAACCATCGGTCTACTGGATCAGCATCTAACTGTGTTAATGCCTAACTCTGATTGATCTAGGGATTTTGCGCGACCTCACTCATTTGTCTTTGGTAGTTATTGCCTACACCCGACAGGGTTGAACTCCATTGATCACACCTTCTCACTAGAACTCCAAGAATTTCCTCACGAAGCTAGTCGCTAGTGAGCACTTTTTACGATATTTTCAGTTATGGCTTTGGAGATTTGTGTTGTTATACACATTTGAAATCATCAATCAATCATTATTAGACCACCATTAGAAACCTGGAAGCACTGGACAGCCAATTCGTCTTGGTATGGTACTCATGAGGTGCAGAAGTCGTGGGTGTGCACTGCTGATAAGTCCCATACCAGGACGAAACGGCCGTCCAGTGCTTCCAGGTTTCTAATGGTGGCTTAACAATGATTGATTGATGATTTGAAATCGTATTTTTGCCTAACTGAGCTTCACTCATCGAATTCTAACTTATTACCAAGATTTATTTATTACGTAACAAATGCGTTTCTAACCTATAAGATTTTTGTTAGAATCACTGTTGTAGAATATTATTCTGTAAAAATTAATAGATGTTCACAATCTTTTTTCATTCAATCTAATAATATGATTTTGGGAAACATAATTGTTCAGCACAGTGGATTTGATGTAGATGTGAAGGCGTAGATTGGAAAAATAAAGACATCATTTCTACAACTGAAGGAATTCACAACAACTATCAACCGATATCAAAGTCACAATTTTCAATATAAACGTCAGAACAAGTTCTATTGTATGGAGTAAGAAACTTAGAGAACCACGAAAGCTATCATCTAGAAGATACAAGTGTTTATTAATAGTTGTCTATGCAAAATACTTTGTATCAGTTGGTCAGATACTATCAGAAGCAACCTACTGTGCGAGAGAACAAACAAAATTGAAGCAGAGAAGGAAATTAGAAAGAAGCCTTAGAAGTGGATAGGAAACACATTGAGGAAACCATCCAACTGGGTCAGAAGGTAAGCCCTCACTTGAAACCCTCAATGTCAAAGGAGAAGAGGAAGGCCAAAGAACACATTACGCCGAGAAATGGAGACAGACATGAGAAGAATGAATAGTGATTGGACAGAAGTGGGAAGGAACTCCCAATCAAGAGTAGGTTGAAGAATACTGTTCTTCGGCCTATACTCCATTATGGGTAATAGGCATAAGTAAGCATTAAAAACACTTACAAGTTTACTATCACTAAACTGATATGTATGATCGTAACGACTCCACAACTAAAATATTTCATTATGTGTAATTACAAATCTAATACGGGATAATAATATTTTTTTTTAATTTAACAGGTTGTTTTAAGCAGCTGATACTAAGAAGAACCAAACGAAACATCAATGAATTCATGTCATTCGGAGGAACCATGCGCTATTTAATTTAAGAAGCATTCAAAGATTAATATTCTGAAAAAAATAAGGCTGAATCAATGATTGTTAGAGAACCATTAGAAAACGGGGAGCATCGGACGTTCATTTCGTCCTGCTATGGGACTCATCAGTAGTGATGCATATCCAGGAATACTACTACTGACAGTATTCGAACCCAGGACCTTTGGTCCTGCGCGCAAAAGCCCATTCTGCCAACCACTGACCCAATATCTAACGGTGTCACTGTTTAATTCCAATCAATCCATGGTCTTGCGCAAACTCATCCACTCTTTTGCAACCGAACAAGGATAAACTCCACTTGTCACGAATACTCACTAGAACTCAGAGAAACCTCTTCACGGAGCTTTGTATCCAAAATTTCTGGGTTCGAATCAAGTGAGTAGTGAGAGTCCTGAATACGCACTGCCACTAGTGAGTCCTGAATCAGGACGAAACAACCGTCTTTCAGTGCTTCCAGGTTTCTACTGACGATCTAACAATGACTGATTCATGATTTCAATGTGTAATATTTTCTATACCAAAAAAATAAATTACTATTCTAATATTTTCAATAAATGCGATTAAATGAACCTGTTCATCGGACAGGATATTTCAAACTTTCGTCATCATCTGTGCTTACTTTTGCTTGATGTTGTAATTAGAAAAATAATAATAATAATAATAATAATAATAATAATAATATTAATTGAATATTTTAATAAATAACTGAATTACTTTGACTAAATAAAACGAAATAACAATTCATTTCCAATTAAAACATGTCAATCAAATTTCGACTATGATTATTATTATTGTGATTATTATTATGTAATTATGGCGAAAATTATTATTTTTGATGTAACCAACAAACCAACTGGTTTTACTGTTACATATCAATGGTATGCCTATTTGAAGAATGCACAACTTTGAATGGAAAAAAATAATGCAAATTGTGTGTGTATGTGTGTGTGTGTGGGTGTGCAATGCATCTCTCTCAATGTAATCATCAATAAGTAGAAAGAAATAAAACATAGTAATTACTTTCTTTTAATGAAATAATTAATCTTAGTGTAATTGGAATTTTTGGACATTGTAAAGAGAGAAGAACAGGTGTCAAAACAAACGAGAATGATATACGGATATATATAGATACATAGATACAATGCAGAATTTCCTACGTACGTACGTACGTCAGTTCAGGTTGCCATACCATATTAGCAAAGAGACGTAACTGTCAGTTCAAATCCGAGAGTGATAGTGATAGTAGAAGTATTAGCAGTAAGTAATGGAGAAGATTAGGGAGCGAAGATATGATTCGAAAAGTATTATTCAGTAAGATAAATTTAGAAGGAGAAACGTAGAGATTATGAGGAATTCAGAAGGTTAGAATTTGAGAGAATACAAACAGTGGATGCACCTGCGTCAATCCAAACGATTCTGAGTAATGTCATTCAAGGTCTCTAACCATTGGCGACTTCCGTCTCGTGGATCCCAACCAGGTAGCCTACATCCATCAACATCACTCAGTCCACTTGTCACCAGTGACTTCATGGATTTGTGCCATGTTTTAGTTTGGCCGCACCTAGCTTCCGTCCAACCCATTCCTACGTCATCGAGCCAGTCGGTATTTAGCCATACGTAACACATATGCCAACCACCTCAACTGATGAAGTTTCATTACTTCATCCATCTAATGGTCTGCGATCCCTACCAAGTAGTCGTTTTCTAACGATGACATCACTAACTCGGTTATCGCAGTATATACGAGCAATGCTAACTGCTAGAACACTGGGCCGGCATCTCACGATATTAATGTCTACCTTTTGAATTGGGTAAATCCTTGAAGGTAGGTGATTATTGACTGATAGAGTATAGTACATCCATGTTGCTGCAAATCTAATCTTCTCTCGATTTCATCATCATTTTTATCATTAAAAAAGTCAAGGAGCATGAACAAATCATCCAACATGAATTAAATTTTGATATCAAAATAAATAAACCCTGTTAACAAATAGAAATGCTCAGTTTCTTTTTACAAAATATCACTTACTTCATTGTGGTGGTGTTTGTTTCGTTCTCTGAGCTGGTTGTTTTGATTGTGGAGCTTTCATTGTTCTTCTGATCAAAAGTGGGAGGCAATCAAAACATAGTTGCAAACAACGACAGGTCAAAAATCAACAGCAACCAATCAAGATCGAGGTTAGCAGCAGAACAAGCTACAGGTCAAACACGTGGAGAAATTCGAATGCTTCACTTCTCCTCTATCTGAAGTTTGTGCTACTGATGATGATGTTGTTCAGCAGCAGAAGAACAATGATGAAAGCTCCACAACCAAACAGCATCCAGCTCAGAGAACCAAACACCACCACAATCATCCCCCGTGAGCTACAAGTTTTCTCCACTATATCTCAAAATCACTTACTTCAGTCTGATCAGGTGACGCATGCAATGAATCGGTTTCTCGTCCATGTTTTGTTATGAGTTCATCATTTTCCATCAGATTGTTGCTATCTCTATTCATTAATAAAACAGAATGTTGCTTTGGCCCAACCATTTCATATGCTCTGCTTAACATGGATAATAAGGTCACAGTTGAATTGACATTGCAAGAATTTGTTCTAGTGGAATTATTTACTGACATGTTGGTGGAACTGGAATAACGTTTACCATTCAGTGATGTCAAATTCGGTGACATACTATGACGTTTATGCGTAAATGTTTGTAATGATAATAGTAGATTTTTACTCATTTGACCGTCATTATAACAATTTGCCAATCCACCATGTTCATTCAATTGACAACGTGCTTTCGATGATAAACGACCACGTCGACCTTTCAAACTATCTCGACGTACAACTAATGCACACAAAAAAAATGAAGAAAAATTATCTTTGTCATTATAATACTTCATACAAAATATAAAGCGAATATTTGGATTAAATTACCTGATCAAAATACCAAAGAAAGGTGATCTTAGCAAGTGTGAGAACTACAGAGGCATCACTCTTTTTCTTTCAATACCAGGCAAAGTCTTCAACAGGGTATTGTTAAACAGAATGAAGGACTTCGTAGACGCCCAACTTCGAGATCAACAGGCTGCATTTCGTAAGGATCGATCGTGTACTGACCAAATTGATACATTACGGATCATTGTGGAACAATCAATTGAACGGAACTCACCACTTTACATCAACTTCATCGACTACGAGAAAGCAATCGATAGCGTGGTGGATAGGAAAACACTGTCGAGGCTTCTTCGACACTACGGTGTGCCTGAGAAAGTAGTTAACATCATACGGAATTCTTATGATGGATTCAACTGCAAAATCGTGCACGGAGGTCAGCTAACAGACTCGTTCGACGTGAAGACCGGTGTCAGGCAAGGTTGCTTACTCTCACTCTTTCTCCTGGTCATCGACTGGATTATGCAGACTTCGACATCTGGAGGACAACACGGTATCAACTGGACAGTTAGGACGCAGCTGGACGATCTGGACTTCGCAGATGACTTGGCTCTTCTATCGCACACGCAACAACAAATGCAAGAGAAGACGACCAGTGTAGCAGCAGCCTCTGCAGCAGTAGGTCTCAACATACATAAAGGAAAAAGCAAAATTCTCCGATGCAACACAACATGCACCAACCGAATCACTCTTGATGGAGATGCCTTGGAGGACATTAACACCTTTACATATTTTGGCAGCATCATCGACGAGAAAGGTGGATCCGATGCAGATGTGAGGGCGCGGATTGGCAAAGCGAGGGCTGCATTTCTACAGTTGAGAAATATCTGGAACTCCAAACAACTTTCAACCAAAACCAAAATCAGGATTTTCAATACAAATGTCAAGACAGTTCTACTGTATGGAGCGGAAACTTGGAGAACTACGAAAGCCATCATCCAGAAGATACAAGTGTTTTTGAACAGTTGTCTACGCAAAATACTTTGTATTCGTTGGCCAGAAACGATCAACAACAACGAACTGTGGGAGAAAACAAACCAGATCCCAGTGGATGAGGAAATCAGGAAGAAGCGGTGGAAGTGGATAGGACACACATTGTGGAAAGCACCCAACTGCGTCACAAGACAAGCCCTTACTTGGAACCCTCAAGGTAAAAGGAAAAGAGGAAGGCCAAAGAATACATTACGCCGAGAAATAGAGAAAGATATGAGAAGAATGAACAAACATTGGACAGAACTGGAGAGGGAAGCCCAGGACAGAGTTGGTTGGCGAAAACTGGTTGGCGGCCTATGCTCCATTGGGGGTAACAGGCGTAAGTAAGCAATTTGGATTAAATAACAGAAATTCTTATTAGTAATGTATTTCAAGTTGGAAAATCACTGATAACGAAGAGATTCAACCAAAAAATCTTCGATCAATCCTTCATAGCAATAGAAAATATTAAATAAGACAATCTTGTCAAACCGGATCATTCAATAAAATTCATGAGATTATTGTCGAGTAGCGGTTAGAAAAGTTACGAAGTTCATCTTAATTCGTCTTGCCATCACTGGAATCGATGCAAAGTTATGCAGATAAATGTTTCGAAAAATATTGTTTCTGATAACTAATATAGTTTAAATTAGGAAAAAAGATTGATCATATGTCATTATTCACGTTTGCACGCAAGACCGAAGGTCCTGCGTCCGAATGCTGCCAGTATCAGGAGTTTTGAATGCGCACTATCACTGATGAAATCGCCATCTTTCAGTTCTCGCAAGTTTCTAATGGCGCTGATCTAACAATGATTCATTCTTATCTGAGTAATGTCATTGGTATGAATTACAATGAAATCAGACAGTTTTAGCACAAAACTAAAAGTTGCCAGATAAGTTTGAACAAGTTTAATGACCTCTAGTTATGTCATTACAGTTCTGCTAATTTACTACACACTTCGAAATATTAATTAAAAAAGCTTTTTAATACAATTTGTAAATAACTTTCTCCTGAATAAAGAGACATTTGATGTCCATCGAAGAACAAGTTCCAACGTATGTATATATGTGGGAGTATTTATGAGAATGGTTCTACATCAACAACTCACCGATAATCTCAATATAATTACACTTAACTAGTTACTAATTTTGATGGATGTCGACTCACTGGTCCAGAAGTTAAGTATTTATGCGGAAGATCAAACGTCTTGGGTTTGAAGCCTCCAAACAGGAGTAGTTGTGGACGTATACTGCTGACGAGTCTCATTCCCAGATGAAACAGTCGTCATTCAGTGCCTTCAGGTTCCGCATGGTGACAGTCTAACAATGATTAATTCATAATTTCAGTGATGACGATAAAATAATCGATAGTTTTTATATTTTCATCTTTTGTGAGAACCGCTAGACTAATTGAGATCATCTATCGTATTCCTAATTGACTAATAAAACAATTACTCTTCTTATTATTATGTAAAACTACTAGTCTAAAAAACTTTTAAAATCATTGGAACTACAAATCGACCAATGTTAGATCAATATTGAATACCTGAAAGCACTAGACATCCACTCCATTATAGTATGGGACTCCTATGCAGTATGTACACACGAACACTCAAGCAGGAATCGAATTCAAGACACTGAGTCAGAACACTGAGTCAGCATCAAACGACGTTAATGTCTAACTTGAATAAATCCACAATGTTGCGCTAATTCACTGCTGTTCAGTCCGACACTACTACAAGGAAATGGACTTCCAATGCTTCCAAGTTTTTAATGTTTGTGTGACATTAATCGATTCTTGATTTCAAAAAGTAACTCAACAATCTTCACAATACTTCAGACTGAAAATGTTATACTCTTCTATTTGGAATCAAGAAACAAGTCAGAAGGGGATACAATCAAGATAAAGGTTTAAGGTCACGAGCAACCAATCAAGATCAAGGTTAACAGAATAATCTATAGGTCAAACATCAACCAATCAATCAATCAGTAGCAACGTAGAACTTCGTACATAAGTACATCAGTTCATGCTGGCAAACCACATTAGCACAGAGATGTAATTGTCAATTCAAATCCATTAGTAATAGAGGTAGAAAAGGTATTAGCAGTAGTCGGAGAGGTTAGGATTAGAAGATATTATTCAAGAAGTAGAATCTAGTGAAATAGACTTGAAAAGATAAAGATAAAGTGATGAAGAATAAAAAAGTTTAGGATTTGAGTGAACACAAAGAATGAATGCACCTGCACCATTGCAAACGGTTTTGAGCCAAGTCATTTAAGGTCTCTAACCATCGGTTTCTATCGCCTAGCGGACCCCAACCAGGTAGTCGACACCTTCCAACATGGCTCAGTCCACTTATCACTAACTTCATGGATTTCTGCTATGTTTTGGTTGTTCCCTGCTCTCTTCCAACCTACTCCTACACCACAAAACATAACTCGACCAGGCCAGTCGGCGGTTGGGCATTCATAACACATGTCCCAATCACCTCGACTGATGAAGTTTCACTACTTCATCTATTGACCTGCCAACCTTACATTGTACACGTTTCCTAAAACAGCATCGCTTACTCCGTCGTCCCAGGATAAACGAGCAATGCTTCGAAGACATCTATGATCGAAAACCAGTAACCTACAAATATCTTCTACTCTCACTGGCCATGTTCCACAGCCATAAATTAGGACGGAGCGAACTACTGCGCAGTACACTCGTCCTTTAGTCAGCAAACGGATACCTCGCCTACGCCATAAATGACGTAAATTGGCTAAAGTCAATCAAGCTTTCTGTATCCGTGCCGAGATTTCGTTAGTCACCAAGCACTGATACGACTCCTAAGATCAGTGAAGTGGTCAAACGTAGAGAAATTCGAATATTTCACTTCACTATCGTAAAGTTCGTGCTACTGAAATGTTGTTGTTTGGAAGAATGGTGATGAATGCACCACAATCAAAACATTCTCAGCTCAAAGAGAACGAAACTCCACCAACAGAAATTTCTGAGCTATCCAATGTAGTAACAGTACTAGTAGCAGTAGTAGCAGTACTAGTACTAGTAGTAGTAGTGTGGTGCGCGCTACTTATAAGTAGTATATGACGCGAGTGTAAATGTAATGTCTAGCAGCAGAAGATGGGGGAAGATCAAGAAGGGAAGAGTGAGAACACAATGGAATTTGTATGAAACACATGAATAGTGAGTGAAATGTCAGACAATGAATTGATGATTGATTGAAGATTTGCAAATTAACGATTTACGATATGGTTTTCCTATTTTACTGAGTAGCTCTGTAATATTCGTTAAAAACAATTCGGTTGCCCTCACTTGTGTTCTCCTTCACTACAGCAGTAGTAGTAGTATTAGTAGTAGTAGTAGTAGTGTGAGTAGTAGTAGTAGTAGTAGTTGCAGTAGTAGCAGTATTAGTAGTCGGAGTAGTAGTAGTAGTGTATTGAACGAGATCACAGGTGAGGGCAATCTAATTTTATTTAACGGAAATTACAGAGTTACTCAGTAAAATTGGAAAACCATATCGTAAATCGTTCATTCGCAAAATATCAGTCCATCATCATATCGAACTGGACTGTTCCTGTTGCAAAACATCAATCCATTGTCAGTATTCATGTGTTTCACACAAATTCCATTGTTTTCTAACTCTTCCTTTCTTGATCTTCCCTCCATCTTCTGCCTGCCAGACATTACGTTGACACTCACGTCATATACTACTTATAAGTAGCTCACTCCACAGTAGTACTGTAAATTATTATCAAAACACTCACTATATTATATACAATGTGTAATCATTGTCTACTTAAATAACACTAACAATAACAGAGAAGAAAAAATATAAAAATCAAATTACTTGTTTTCCGCACACACACACACACACACACTATTTTACTCACTTGCATCCAAGCAAATACGTAAATAGACATTGATTTTTGTGTAAGCATAAAGTACCCCCTTATTTTTAATGTTCCCCTTTCAAAGCTGTTCATATGTGTTGTTGGTTTTACACTTTCTGCACACACACAAAAATTAATTATCTCTTCTACTTTAATTTTTACATTTATCAAGAAAAGAAAAGTGTATTTCAAAGTAAATCAAAGATAAATAGATAGATAGATAGATAGATAGATAGGTAGGTAGGTAGGTATCTGTGTATACCCGTACATCCACACACGCACACACACACACACAAAGCTACGTAAACGTTAATGGACGTAACAAGAGTGAATAGTTTTCATCTCATTCATTTCGGTGTTGTTCCTCTGTTCAATGATTATTTTTTCGCCCATTAACTTATAAATAATGTAGTGAGAGTGGGTGAGTGAGTGAGTGAGTGAAGTCAAGCGAATAAATCATTTTAAGTCTGGTATGCTAAGTAACACCAATAATACAAATCGGCATCTCATCGTCAGTCATTATGATCAAAAACGGCATTTTTTTATTTTTTTTTCTGAAAAAAAACATGTTTGTTTGTTTGTTTGTTAGTAAAAAACACAAAGTAGTCAGCAATATACTACTGAAATTAAAAATTGCACTAAAGTGGAAAATACATTTTTTTTGTTGAAAGAAAGTGAAAAACTAAACCCTAACCAAAAAAGAGAAAACGTCAGAATTTATTTTTATTCTTTCTTATTTTCATTCTTTAATGGAAGTTGAATTTTTTTTTTTTGATGTGTATGCATGCACAGAACAACATAACCGAATTCTACTTTGAAAAGTAGTATATATATATTTTTTCCACACAAAAAAATGTGCATCTATTTTATGTATATATATATATATATATATATATATATATATATATATATATATATATATATATATATATATATATATATATATATATATATATATATATGAACTAGTCATTATCTGGTTACATTGTTACAGTACAGTACAGTACATTAACATTAGATACATAGGTAGGTATACTTATGATGTATAGATGATAGTAAGTAGATAGATATAAGCGTCAAAATGAATGTTGTTTTAATGAACAGTGTAGAAGAATACGTAGATAGTTTTTTGATTTTTTACTCTTATTTTGATTTTCTGAAAACTGAAAGAAAAAGGCGAAGTTACGCTTGCTTGGATGCGAAAAAAACCAAAATATTTTGAAAATTTAGTTTTTTATTTTCTACAAAAATAATTTATCTTTATTACTATTATTATTATTAATAATAGTAATATAATTATTAATTATTAATTATTATCATAATTAAATTAACGTTATTACATTTTTTTATGTTAAGTTTGTTAGAAAATTCAATTTGTTTAAACGAAACGAACATATGTATGTGAAGTTGTGTTCAGGAAATTTTGATTACACATTTAGTGTGTACTAGATATTTGTTACAAGACAATGTAAAATCATATATCTTTACATTATGAGGTTGTGGAATGAGTTGGCAGTTAAGCAGAACACAGGTGAGGGCAACCGAATTGTATTTAATGAAAATTACAGAGTTACTTAGTAAAATAGTAAAACCATATCGTAAACGGTTAATTTGCACAGTTTCAATCCATCATCAATCCATTGTCTGACATTTCACTCACTATTCATGCGTTTCATACAAATTCCATTGTGTTCTCACTCTTCCCTTCTTGATCTTCCCTCATCTTCTGCTGCCAGACATTATGTTATCACTCACGTCATATACTACTTATAAATAGCACGCACCATAAATTGAATTACTTTTCGAAATCATGAATCAACCATTGATAGATCAATATTAGAAACCTGATATCATTGAAAGACGGCCGTTTCGTCCTGTTATGAGAATACTCATCAGTTGCAGTGAGCATCCCCAACCGAAGATGCTACCTTGACGTGGTGTTCGGGCTTGCCTATCGTGATGATTCAACCGAGCTATATTGACTGGAACATATATTCCTGAATGTTCTACCATGCCAGGCAGGTCAATTGGAGAAAGATGAGACTAAAAGCAGCTACTCAAGGTCTGAGGGCGAAGTCGTACTGCTGACTGACTGAAGAGGGGTGTGACAGCAGTAAGGTGTTTCCCTCAGACAACCATCATCTGCTGTGATGCTGCCTTCTCACAAGGAGGGAAGGGTTAGAAAAGTTCGAATCTAAAAGTGTCACACATCACTCTACCTCACGGAATTCCGTCTCCGGCGGTAGGGTTGCCCACTAAGGACTTTCAAGAGCGGAGCTAATAATCAAAAAACCTTACATAAAAAGGCCGTGCGTGATCGGCCGCAAGCAGTTGTCCGTTGAGCTCTGCGGTCACGCATCCAGGTCTCTAAGTCGAGCACTAATTTACCTTTCTTTTTCAAGTTCCTCAAGAAGCAACGTTCCACGGTGTGGGCAGCCGGGAAGTGACAACCGCCCTCATACCCGTAACAGCACACGAGACCGAATTGGTCAAAATCAACTCCTTCCTTCACCCTTTAATACCTCTCTTATCTCCACAACGAACTCTATTCACAGTCCCTTTTCACACTGCACCGCTAATGCAGACGAAGCGAGTTCACGAGACGTCTTTCCTGGTCTCTTGAAAACCCGTTCTAGACTACATGTTGGTGCATTTAATGTACGTACATTATGTCAAATAGTTCAACAGGCTTCTTTATCTAGGACATTAGAATCTCACTCAATCGATGTATGCTGTGTCTCGGAAATGCGCATACAAGATCCTAGTAAAATCATTAATTTAATTTCACCCTATCAGTTAACCTTTTTTTTCAGCTTTCAAAACAATGAAACTATCAACGGATACGCTGTTCATTAAATCGACATTAATTTTGACGCTCATACCTCTATACATTTTACAAAAAAAAAAGTGGATTTGTCTAACAAAAAATTAGGCGGAAGTTTTGAAAATTCAATTTTCTTCTACAAAAGAATTTACCTTTATTACTATTTTTAATAATAATAGTAATATAATTATTAATTATTACTATAATTAAATTAACGTTATTTTTTTACCTTAATTTTGTTAGAAAATTCAATTTGTTTGCAGTGGTATATGATTTTATTGTAAAGAGATGAACATAAGTATGTAAAGTTGTGTTCAGGTAATTTTCATCTCATATCTAATGTGTACTAGATATTTGTTACTGGACAATGTAACTATATATCCTTACATTATGAGGTTGTGGAGTGAGTTGAATTACTATTTGAAATCTTGAATCAATAAGTTTTAAGACCATCATTAGACTACCGTTTCTTCCTGTTATGAGAATACTCATCAGTGGTAGTGCGCATTCATGACTCCTGCTACAGCCAGGATTAGAAACCAGGGTGTTCGGATTTGCACGCGAACGCCTAACCCGCAGTACATGATAACTACACATTGAACCTATTGGCTCTTATAGATAGTGCTTAACTTAATTTACATAAAATATGATCTACAGAACACGCATTTATATGGTTTTTTTATTCATAAATTGAGGTACTATCTGCAACAATCTAATTTAGGAGGAAACAGATTAGATTTAAGCTGAGAAAAAAATCAGGAGAACACTCTGGAGTTGGATAGGACACACATTGAGGAAATCGTCCAACTGAATCCAAAGACAAGCCCTCACTTGGAATACTCAAGGCCAAATAAAAAGAGGAAGATCAAAAAACACATTACACAGAGAAAAGGAGACAGATACGAAAAGAATGAACCACAGCTGAACAGAACTAGAAAGGAAGGCTAGCAACAGGGTAAATTGTAGAATGCTCGTTGGCAGCCTAAGCTCCTTCATTGGTGGTAACAGGCGTAAGTAAGTATGTAATTATTCCTGAATTGAGATATTAAGGAGCAGCATATTCTCCATAATTGGTTTTAATAATTTTTATGGAAAAAAATTTGAAAAAATTAAAAGTAGTATGAAACGACAGATAATAAGTATATTTAGCTAGTTTTTCGTTTAAAGTTGTGGAGATTGTTGTTTTCACTGATATCATGAATCTGTCATTGTAAGACCACCAGTAGAAACCTGGAAGTACTTGACAACCGTTGCTTTCTGGTTTACGACTACTCATCAGTAGTGCGTATCCACGACTTCTGTCACTTGCAAGATTCGGACATTGGACCTTCGTTCTTGAGTGCGTACGCTTAACCTCTTGACCATTAATCCGGCATGCCACGGTGTTAATATCTAACTCTAATCAGTCTAGGGATTTTATGCCATCTCACCCGGCAGAACGGTGCTTCCAGGTTTCTAATGGTGACCTAACAATGACTGACTCATGATTTCAGTATACTTAGAAATCCCTAATGCACAGAATAATAGGAAAGCAAAGATTAGTTAGCGTAGTATCAGTATGCAATTTAGACATTTATTTCTAATATAGGTCACATTGCCAACAATGATGCGTTTTTTTATTCGAAGACCAAACTGCCATACTAGTTATTCGCTGGTTTTTTATTTATTGCGACAAAAGTGCTTGGAATATCTTATTGCCGTGTCAAAAGTGCTTCTTATCACCTTCACTTTGGTTGTACCACTTGAATGAGACTTACTGCTCATTGGTTAATGGTCTCATCTAATTTGTCATTTTGTAGCCTGTTTTTGAAGGTGGCTATTCGTACGGAGTAGATCACAATTTCAGTGAACGCTTGTCAGTTCGTTTGCTCAAGGTTTTTAATGGCTTATACAGTTTTCGTGGGGATTTAGCACTTCTTGCTTTGGTTTGCAGGTTTGCTTACCAGAGAATAAGATGGCCATCTTGTTATTACGTCACTGGTGTACGCTTCGTTCGCCGATATCAAGTCGTGTCTCATTTAGCTTTCATAAAAGAACGAACTCAATAATAAAGATAATCACACATCTTTCTAGAAATTTCCTAATCAATTTTTACACAGAATTCCAATCAACTCACCTTCTTTAACCATTCCAACTTTTAAACATTTTTGAAATCGACAATACTGGCAACGATTACGTCGACGTTTATCTACTACACAATTTTTAGCTTGAAGGCATACATATTGAGCATTTTTTTGAATTGTTCTCTGAAGAAATAAGAAACAGAATAAAAAATTCAATATTCTTTTACCTTTTGTTAAACAGTGAATATTGAATATAAAAATGTGGCGCGTGAACTAACTATCATATGTACAATTTAACATACTAACTAATAAACCTATCCAGAGTTTATTGTTACTTCTCAACTACTAGAACAAGATGTTCGTCTTTTGTTTATCGGTAAAGTTTTTCAAATAAATCACACGTCAAACAAAAAAAGATTGTTAAGTTACTTTGTTGAAATTGAATTTTACACAACCCGCATGATGCAAATAATCACGTGCTCACTAGTGACTAGCTCCGTGAGTTCTAATGAGAAGTCGTGGCCAGTGGAGTTCGCAACACTGCTGGGGTGTGATGCAGTGCACACCAAAGATAGTGGATGAGGTTGCGCAATACCGTCGATTGATCGAAGTTAGACATTGATGTCGTTAGCTACCGGCTCAGTGGTCCAGAAGTTGAGCGTTCGCACGCGTGAGACCAGAGGTCCTGGTTTTGTATCCTGTGTGTAGCATGAGTCGTGGATGCGCGCTACTGATGAGCCTCATACCAGGACGAAACTGCCGTTCAGTGCTTCCAGGTTTCTAGTTTATGGTGGTCTAACACTGATCGATCAGTCATTACAATAAAGTAACTTTTCTTTCTGACAAATCATTTTTGAAAGAATCTATCTTAAACGTCAAAACAACTCATCATTCATTTCTATTTATACTAGGGAAGTTATATTTAATATCATGATTTGAATGGATAATGTGCAACTTGATAACATGTAAACTTGATAAAAGATCTTGAATTTGTGTTACACTACAATACAAGTCAAATATTCTATATATTCAAAACTGCTCGAGAACTTCCAACCTACAGACCAGTTAGCCAGTATCAATGTGTTTGATTCTTTCGTATGGCTGTCGTGGATACGGTTGGCTAGTATTTCCAGGTTTCTAATACTAATGCTCAAGGATTCTTGTTATTAGATTAGATTACTTTACGTTATGTTTACAAATTTCCGAAGTTGAAAACTGAACATCAAAAAAGTTAACTAGCTGTCAAATTGAAATCCAAAGATTTTGATAAACATTTAACTTTTCGTTATCTTGAATTGATTGAGTTTCAACTTGCACACTTATGGATCCCGACTAAACTATCTACAAGTTTAGTGTTCAAATTGTGAGACCGATTTTCCTGGATTGGAACTCTAGTGGCAGAGTCAAGGATGAGCCACACTGAGAAGTCCAGTACAAGAAGAGGACAGTAGTAATTGTCCAACTTAGCTTGGCTTATATTCCTTATAAAATCCTCAATAAATATTTCGTTATTGAAGAAATTCCTGTCATTGCTCATGCTTTCCCTAACTTCATCTGTTAACTTGATTTGTTCGGCATCATTAGACAAGATTTGGTTTCATGTGAATAGTAAGAAAATTTAGAATTGTCGGCTCCTCAAACCAGTAATATAAATACACTTATCGTTGATAGCTGTTTCATCACGATTAGAAATCTAGAAGAACTGGACATTCATTTCGTCTGAGCATGGAACTCATCAGCAGTGTGCAGCTATGATCGCCATTTCCGAGACTCGAACCCAGGACGTTAGCTCAACCACCTTTGGACCACTGAGCCTTCATGCAACAGTGTTAATTTCTAACTTGAATCAATCAAAGATATTGCACGACCTTAATCATTCTCTTCTGTGGGTGACTGCTTCAATGAAAATCAATAATCTCCAAAACGCTATGAATTTAGGTATTCAACCACTTATTTTTCTCAAAATACATTTACTAACGAGAAATAATGCGTAATTTAGTTTTCGATTTGTACTGCCATACGGCCTGTACGGCCGTTTCGCCCTGGTATGGCACTCCTCAGCAGTGCAACCCCTGCACCCCGCAGGATTCGAACCCAGAACCTTCGGTATTGTTTCAAATGGTGGTCTAACATTGATCGATATATAGTTTTAAAAATGTGTAACCTAATAATCTTCACAACCCCGTAATGCAAATTACCTGTGCTCACTAGTGACTAGCTCAGTGAGAAATCTTCTCCGAGTTCTAGTGGGAAGACTTGATCAGTGAAGTTCAACCTGTTCGGGTGTAGACAGTAACTACCGAAGACTGTGTATGAGGTTGCGCAACTCCGTGAATTGATCAAGTTAGACATTGACACCATTAGACACCAGCTCAGTGGTCCGATGGTTAGGCGTTCGCGCACAAGACCGAAGGTCCCGGGTTCGAATGCTGCAGGGTGCAGGAGTCGTGGATCGGCAATCCTAACTAGTTCCATACCAGGACGAAACGGCCGTCCAGTGCTTCCAGGTTTCTAATGGTGGTCTAACATTGATCGATTTATAGTTTCAAAAATGTGTAACTTAACAATCTTCACAACCCCGTAATGCAAGCTATGGAATTATTAAAATCTATAGTTTCATGAACAGCACTCATCCTTAAATTCATCAAAGATTGATATTGTGGTACTGAAATCAAAATGTACTACCTCAACTTTTCAAATTCAGTCAATCTATGATATATATAAGCATGGAATATCAATTTTACAGTTCAACATCTTTGAACTCAACTTTGTTGTAAATTCACACTGGGACTTAAAGGATTCACTAGCGTGTAACAGATTAATTTCTTTTTAAATTAGAACGTTTTTACAAGGTTTTTGTTTAAACTTGATAATAGACTGACTCATTTAATCTTACTTATTCCTAATGTACTCCAAAAACAATCAATCACTTTCAAAAATTCTAATCTACTGTACTAGTATAATTTTTGAAACGATTAACATGGCGAACCCCTGCAATGAACCTAACTAGATCACATTCTTATCAGCCATCGGTGGACAACCTACATTAAAGACTGTGCGCCCATTCTGGAGTACTTGCTTACATTCAGATTTTAATGTTAAGATAGACTGGTTCATTTAATTGCACCTAGTCAATAAATTCCGATCATCAACAAAACTATTATTCATTCTTAACGTACTCTAAAAACAATCATTCACTTTAGGAAATTGTGCCATATATAAGGAAAAATTAGAATAATTTATCGTAAGAATACAATTACTATTGTAAATCAACTGACATACACATTGCTACAATATGCATGCATACATACATAGTACATGTATTACAAATACTGAGAGGATCAGTTGAAGTTTGACCTTAGTTAGTCAGGTATCATCAGCATCATCATCATCATTCAGAGTTTACAATAATCATTAAAAATATGTGTTAGACAAATTGAATAATATATATGCAACATGATAATAATAATATTAATAATAATAATTCATCTTGAAAAGGGTCAAAATTGGCCTATCTATTAAAGGGTTGGATAATATCTGCCCTAGTCAATAAAAACACACCCTTAGTTTTATATATATATATATATATATATATATATATATATATATATATATATATATATATATATATATATATATATATATATAGATTCTATGAAGAAAAAAAGATAAATAGTTTTAGATAACATGAATAATGATGATGTTTTGAGGGTAGCGAGCGAGCGAGCGAACGAGCGAAATAAGGAAATAAACGAGAAAAAATGAATTAGAAATAGACGAAGCAAGGCTATTCGAATGTAAATGCAAGTGTACAAGTGTGCAAGTGTGTGTGTGTGCGAGAGTGGCAATACACTTTGCTAAGTATGTACATACAGATTATACAGTAGTCTTAGTAGTAGTAGTAGTAGTCGTAGTAGTAGTTAGATAGATGGTTTCTATTTTAATCAATCAGCGGCATAAAAAATTTGTTATGTTGAAGGTATGATCACAGTAGGTGAACTATGTATGCATTGATGTTAACCAAATAGAAAAGTATTTTTCTCTTTTTTTTACAGGTGAATAATATCGAATAAAAAAAAGTGAAGGCATGAATTCAGTGGCTACCACATTCCATTTATATGAAAGCTTATTTATCCTAGTATTATTATCATACAGTGGATTAAAAAAATATTTGTTTTAATTTATCAATTTCTACATGTGTGTGCGTGCATGCGCGCGCGCGCGTAAACTCTGTTTAAAACGTCATTTCTTCCCTCTCCTTTTTTTTAGTTAATTAAAACAATGTTTGTTTGTTTTGTTTGTTTTTTTTGAGGTTTCAGATAAGTTTCAGATAAGGTGATGAAAGCTTTGAAATGAATAGAAAAACTTATCAGTGACCTTGTTTAATAAATATGTATATATACATGTTACGAAATGGTGTAACATACAGAATACCTTGGTGCACTTTTACATAACAGCTGAATTTACAATTGACTGACTACTACTACTATTTATACGTTTTCTGGGGGCGTAATTCAACTAAATAAACCTTTTAACGCCTTGGGGGGTAAATGATTAGTGTGTGATATGGAGTAAATCGCAAAGAGAGTATCATTTTCTTTACAAGACTGAAAATATATTTTGTTGAATGAGTACTAAATTACATAATGCAAAGGTATATCAAAATATCGGACACATCATTCTAAGTTGGTTGGATTACAATTTAGGTTTTTAAATCGATCGAAAGTATTTGATTAGCAAACATGATACCGATTACTACTCACTGGTCGATTAACATAAACTATAACATAGAATGAAGTTAACAGTGGAATTATAGACGCGCGTTTTCACTTAATTACAACTGGTCTTTAGCTTGATGTTCAATCTGAGATGCGATAGTGTTTGAAACCAATGCTATCCATACACCGACCAAGTCTGATCAAATTTTAGTCAAGACATCGATGGGATGATCCAAACAACTTCAGATTTAGGTAAATCACATTCCCGCTTTATAAGAGAGTAACTATCTGAACTCGATAGCTAAACAGACAAAACGTTGGTGTTTGAAGTGAACAATACTAGCATGAATTCCTGCAGTGAACAAAATCTTAGCGGTGAAAGTATATCCAGCTAAAGAATAGTCCAATGAAAGACGAATCGTGTATATTCTCCATAAACTTGTTCTATAATGATTAGATCAAGGC